AATATCATCTATTTAATAAAGATGATTTACTCCAAATGTGGATTTCATTGGATTTCATTCAGCCACCTCAAGGAATGACTATGGAGGATTTCGGAGGAAGGTATTTTGATGTTTTACTCAAAAAAAGCTTTATTTGACAAGGTCAAATATGACTGCATTGTCAGAGATGACTACAAGATGCATGATTTAATACATGAGTCAACATCTAATTTTTTTGCACGGGAATGCGTTGATGCTCTGGATGAAGAAAGGTCATTTCTCGAAATTTCTGAGACTATTCGACACTTGTCTGTTCTAAATGCAAAGCCATACATCTTAAGAAAGATTGATAAGTTTAAACATTTGCATTCTCTTTTCTTGTTCTATAAAGCTTCTGATGAGGATATTTGCAGTGCACTTACAAAAATATTCGAAGCATCGACAAACCTACAGTTATTATACGTATTTGCTCCATACTTGAAAGTAATACCCGAGGAGATTGGAAATTTAAAACATCTTCGATACTTAAAGATTATTGGTTGTAGTTTGACTATGCTGCCAAGATCTCTAAGCAATCTCTATCACTTGTAATACATAATCTATGATAGCCCATGGGAAAACCAACCTTATGGTGATGATTTTTTACCTAACATTAAGAACCTTACAAACTTGCGTCAAATAAATTTGCCCGAGAATGTGAGAATTGAAATATCGCTTCCTTAAAAAAGCTGACAATTGAGGATAATGATGAGGTGGTTTCATTTCCAAATGAGGCGGAGCAGTGGTTTCTGAAAGTTAATTCTTCTCTTTCTAAGCTGCAATTTCCATTACTCTAATCCTGGCAGTCTCTCCCTTCCTCCTTGGAAAGCTTATCTTCTCTTCAGGTTCTACATATTTGGGCGTTCCTATGCTTCGGGAATTACCGAACCTTCCTCCTTCTTTGGAAGGTCTAACAATTTGGGGATGTCATCCAGAGTTACCGGAGTACATGGAACTTGAAAAACAGCTGACCAAAAACAAGAGAAGGATGCTTAGGGTTTGGCCCCTTGGTCAACCACCGATGCCATTTCTGAGCCTTCAATACTTGATAAGTTTTCTTCTCCCCTCCTAATCAGATAAATTTTTTTTTTCTGTTAAATTTAATTTGATCGTCCATATCCATTGAAAACTGTCACATGAGACTCCAACTCCTGTGAAGATGTATAACTTACAGAAATGATACTCACAGCCTGAAGTAAAAGAACCATTCCAAGAATCAACAAAAACACTTTCCCTCATAAAATCAATCTATTTTGAGTGTAGAACTAAGAGAGAAATGTAGAGAGATATGAAGAGAGTGAGAAAAGTGTAGAGAGAGATGAACATGAAATCTTGATATTCATTTCCGCTATATTACAGGAGGCAACACCCATCTGCCAAACACAGATTTCCAGCTCGATATACCCACCGAATGCCAGCCATACAGAAACGGATATTAGGTTTCTCCGAGCATAAACAGTACGCAATTCATAAGTAAAAATGAGTTGCTGTATCTAACAATATGAACAAGAAAGATTTTGTTTGAGGATAGATATCACAAAACACTGAAAGTTGCAAATGCATGTGACCAAATCTAGGAATGCCAAACGAATTACTCTTATGTTTGACACAAAATCGCATTGCAAACTCAAGCAACGAAAGCAATAAAGCAGTTGATGAGACCTTCAGAAGACATAATTCCTACTCAAAATTTCTTTGCAGCACTAAAATCAGGAAATGAAAAGGCTCAAGGGTTTCAACAAATTAAATGCCCTTAACAATTATAGTTTCCTATGCATGTCAAATCTAGTCAATATCCTATCATAATGGAAAAGTTCATGAATATAATTCAACACAAACAAAAAAAGGTAAGAATAAAGAAGCAAATTAAGCCTGTTGATCTTGTGCAATGAGAAGAGTTGTAAGAATAGGCTGTAATGAATGCAAACAAAATAAAATTCCCTTCCTCGTTTTACAAAATGGTTTCTTCATAAAAAGTTTGCCAACCCATAGGAGGCTGATCCCAAATAAAATTCCCTTGATCATGGACCGTTTATTGGACATTTGAATGTCTTTATGATATTAGAATTTGGCAATCTTGGGCTCGTTGGATTTGACTCGTCGAGCCGCTTCGGGTCCTTGATTTGGATCTATTTAAGCACGAATTGGGTCGAATTTGGTGTCGTTGGGTTTATATTTCCGAGACGTTCAGTTTGACTGTAAGTTTGTTGAAATCGGATTTGAGATGATCTCTTATTTAATTTTTGAAATTTCCAACTTGATTTTGCCTCAAGATTCGTATCCGATCAATATATATATATATAATACATAGAAGTTTGACAAGTATAATAAAAGATTCAAACCACGTTTAAGAAAATAAAATGTCATTAAAAAAAAACAGGGCTCAGAGTAAACATAAAGAAACAAATAATCTGCCATTAGAAGAAGGCAGTAGACCCATAGATTAGGGGATCTAGGTTGCTAAGATCACTTAAAACCACACTCAGCTTGACCTTTCATAAGAAGAGACAATGAAACAACCATAATAAAGATGCTTGTTGTCTACTCATAATTCAATACATTTCCACTATAGTGTTTGAGTGGATCCTGCTACTTCTTCTCAAATCATACTACTATTTTTCTTTTCTTTTTAATTATTGGATCAGATCATTGAATCATTTATTTCTTTTGGCATATTTAGAAAAGCATAGCAAAAGAAAGGCCATCCTGGAAAACCCCTAGGGTCATATGACCCATCATAGCCCTCTCAAAAAATCAATCCATGAATAAGAAAGGCAGCCATCGAATTGAAAAGAGGCACAAGCAGCCAAAAGACATCTCAGAAGAACATCAACCTTATGAAGCAGCCACAAGGAGGATGAACCAAACCAAGCCACCAGAGATAAACATAGCGGAAAAACTCAAAAACACAAAAGAAGCCATCAACATTTATCAGAAACCACCATTGGAAACTAATAGCCAATAGAAGTCGTGTTGCTAGAATTGTACATAAGAAGAAAAGAAACTCACGACCTCCCCATTCTTGCAGCCATATGACAACATATTATGCTTAAAATAGAAGAAGTGAAAGAGATGAGATGGCCATATTTCCTGTCATTCAGTTCCCTCCAAATATAACATACAAAAAAGCATATAGAGAAGAAAAAAATATGTCATGCAGTTCACTGGAAGGCTGCCGTTTTATATGAACAAACCATCTAAGGTGACTCTCTAATCTTATTTTTCACTGGAGCTACTCCAACCTTTTCACGTATATGCTCATTTCGTATCCTGTCTATACTAGTAAAGCCACTCATCCACCTGAGCATCCTCATCTCTGCAAACTTAAATTAATATTATGCTTCTCTTAATGGCCACATTATCCACCATAAAGCACTGCAAGTCTCACCACTATCTTATAGAACTATACCTTGACGAATGCCCAAATTTGCAAGAATTTCCCTTCTTAAAAAGCAGAACATAGGAGCAGCATCTTAAGTAGCACAAAACATGTGACACAGGATCCTTGCCTGAAAATTATCACTTATCAGGTTGGTAGAGGCAAAGAGGAGATATTTATGTTGTGGTTCAGGAAGTCATCAAATGAATATCAAACTACTATGTACATCAACATTTCTCTTCTATCTATAGTGGTCCATGGGGTTATGGGAAAGACATTTCTCTTGCAACATGTCTATGAAGACCAAATCATAAAGAAATTTGCAACGTAAAATTTGGTAATAACTCATATGTAATCCTCAAATTTGCAATGTTGCCCTCTTTTAATCCTAAGCTCAAAATATTAGAGATAGATAACATTGGGTGGAAAGTTTTGAACAGGCAACAAGACATTAGCAACTGTTGCAGCATTTCAAAATCTATTCCCACCAAACATTAGAGGTCATTTCCTATCCAAAATCACATATCTTCTTTTGGTTGATGAAATAGTAGGAATTGAAGCACTAAGAAACTTGACAATTTTGAGATTGCCCCAATCCAATTTCTTTCAGAGGGCTAATAAAAAGGAGACCAACGAGAATTTCTAGCTTATACCCAGTGAATTAGATATAAATGATCCATCTGTGCTGTTAGTGGTGCTATTGAGCTAGGTTTTGCATCCCAATCACATGCACCCCAGAAAACCTATCCCAGGGCAATTTCCACAAATCGTTTCTTTATGGAACACACCTTTGTTTCCTCCACGTTTTAGGCCAGCTGTATCTTATGCTTCCCGTACTCAAGCTCATAGAGCACACCATCCGCATCATCAATGTCATCTCGTGGCTTCCACAGCCATTCCTTGAGATGCTGGTTTTGTTCTCTGATATGTGCCAGGCAGGAAACAAAGGCGACAGCTGGGATCTTGAGCTGGTTCTCTCGTGTCATTTCCAGTGCCTCCTCCTTCATGCATAACAACCAGAAGCCCAAAAAATACAGTGCAGTGTGAAAAAAAAAGGGTTATGAGACAAGAAAAAATGGGCTCAGAGCAAGCCGTCAAAGAGGTAAGCCGAAGGAAGCCGAAGCGCTCTACCTGGTTGCACACTAAAATGTGCCATCCAGAGGGAGAGCGACAAGCTTCCACAAAAAAAAAAAAAAAAATTCAGACAGCTTTAAAGAAGAACAAGGGAGAAGGTCCAATCGCACAAGACAAGGAGATTGAAGCTCGTTCCCTGAGAAAAAAGATAATATCCCGAAGACTACAGAGGACTCAAGGTGAATAAATGTTTGCCAATTAGCCACGGACGACGACTTGGGGCTGTTTGGATGCAGGATTTAGGCTAGATTTAGGGGGTGTTTGGTATGGGATTTATTTCGAGTTTTTACTAGGGTTTACGGTAAATCCAGCCAAACGCAAAAAAAGTAGCGGTAAATCCGACAAATCCCTAAATCCCGGATTTGCGGATTTATGGCGTAAATCCGCTAAATCCCGGTAAATCCTAATCCCGCTAGAAGTCGGATTTACGGGATTTGGCCGAAGAAGTGCGCGAAAGGGAGAAAGTTACCTTCACAGCGAGCGAGCTACCGCCGTTGCTTCAGATAAAAATGTTGTAACGTCCGAAAAAAGTTACCTCACTCGCAGCCGAGCTCCTTCCTCCGATCTCCACCAAGCCGCTCGATCCGACTGTAGCAGACGCTACCCTACCCGACCCCAAACTCTGCCCTAGCTCCTGTTTTCCGATTCCCCACCAACCAAAGCTCCAGACCCGAACTTCATCTCAGCCCTCCCCTTTGCCGATCTAGAGATCCTACACTCTTCCTCATTTATTTCACTAAGCTCCTAGTAATAAAGTTATTAATACAGCATTAATTACTATTATTTTTAATGTTGTTATTATTTATCTTAGTATTGTCATTAAGATTATTATTATTTAATGATATTATTATTAGTTTTGTTATTAATCATTAGTTATTATAATATTATATTATTATTATTATTATTATTATTATAATAAAAAAGAATTAAAAAAAATGTGGTCTTGATTTTTGTGTCCTACACCCGTCGGTCCCCAAGGTATATCTTCCTAAACTCAGGTTCCCATTTTCGTCGTTCGCGGTGGACCGACAAACCCCCTATACGCGTTCTAGTAGCACGGTAGGAGGAAACCCAGTCCGGCGCTACGACAAAGCGGGTAATTTCCTAAAATCCCATTTTCGACGTTTGATCTGAAGCATCGATGAGGCGGGTAATTAATACTTATAAAATAGTAATTAAATTATTAATTAAATAATTAGTATGCTTATTAGTTAAATAATTAATTATTTCCTTAATGGCAAACAACTTTATAACTTGATGCGGAAGCGAATTAAGTGGCTTTATATTACTCGTTCAATTTTAAATCTCCAACTGTTTTAAATCCTGTAATATGTTGCAAACATCTTTCTGAATTTAACAGAATTTAAAAATTGTCATACCAAACACAATTCAGGATTTAAGAGCCCAGGATTTACAGGATTTAATAAATCCTACTAAAATTGAATCCAATCCTATACCAAACACCCCCTTAGGGCGGATTTGGGCTAAATACAGCCAAACAACAAAAAAATGCAAAACTAGATCTCACGGTAAATCTAAGCCGCGGTTGACGGAAAATTGCCTCTTCTCGTTGTAAAACCCGGATTTACAAAATCCTTCGGTTCAGCGGATTTACCGCATTTTTGGAGGGAGGGAAAAAGAATCCCGACCGAAAAAGCGCGTGAAAGGGGAGAAATTTTGTTACCTTCAGGAACAACGTCGAAGGAGAAAGCAGAGAAGCTTGGACTCTTTCAGAACTCTACTTCACGAGAAGCAGAACATCAATGAATAAATGCAAAAGAGGAAAAGCAAACCCTAGACAAGCAATGGCAACTAACTCGCTCGAAGCTCTACGCCGCGCGAACCAGCGAAGCCGAAGCGGGAACTTTACGCGAACGAACTGAAGAGCCGGCCCGCAGGATTAGATTTATTCTAAATTTTTTAATTAGACATTAATTTAATTTGCTTAATTAAGATAATTTAAAATATAAATATTTAATTGGCTGATTAATAGTGTAAATGTTAGATAAATAATTAGTTAGTAATGGAATATTTAATTGATTTACTAGATAATTATAAGTATATTTAGTAATTAAAGTTTTATTAAATAATTTATAAAAAATTAATGAAATAATTAGTAAAAATAGTAATTAATGATTAATGATTTTAAATTATAATTAGATCATTATTATTATTATTAGCATTAAAATACTTATTAAAATAATAGCTAAATAAGTTATTTGTAAAAAACTTATTAAAATAATACCTTAATTATAGTATTCATATAATTTATTGGTGTTAATTAAAATTAGAATTAATAAATAAATTATATTTGAAAAAGAAATATTATATGAGTTAAACCATCTTAAATCTTGAATAGCATTAGCAAAAAGTCTTATAGGATTTGTCCATTTAACATATTTTTTACCAAAAAGTTTATAAGATTTAACTGTCTCAAAATTTAATAAATTCTACTTTAGAGAATTTACAAAATCCTACTTAAATTACATCCTACGTGCAACCAAGGGCCTATTTTATAGCAGGAAGAGTTCTTATAATAATTAGACTCTGAGCAGAGCGAAAAGTTCATTTATTTCTTATGACATCTTATTTCAATTTCATAGATTTTCAGATCTGAAACAATAACGCACGGATTGAAAGTAATGGCACAGAAGGTTCCAACATTCATAAAAAGATAAGCTCATTACTCTTCTTCCTGTCCACCTGCTTGATGTTTTGCCTCAACAGGCTCGTTTCACCTTTGGCTGCAACACACACTCACGGGATCCGAATGGTTCTCCTGTCCGGATTCCTGTCCGGATTCCGCATATCTATGTTTCTTCATAGGGGCAAATTATTGGGTCAGGTGACCGAACGCAGAGATAGGTTCGGATAATAATAAAATATTATTTTAAAATTAGCGCAACTAAAGCGCAACTAAAGCGCAACCAAAGCGCAACTAAAGCGCAACCAAAGCGCAACCAAAGCGCAACTAAAGCGCAAGTCAAAAAGCGCAACTAAAGCGCAAGGTGACGCGGCAAATTTTTATTGGCTGTCCGAACTTATCTTTTGGCTCCGGTCACCTGACCCAATAATTTGCCCTTCATAGGACATTAGTTAAACTCTTAACTCAATAATTTCCATCTTCTCGCTCGGCAAGGTGTCGATAGCTACAAATGTTAGTCAAATCTTTTCAAGTGATGTTGGATTAGTGTAGTAAACATCCACCTAATCTTCTGTTTTCACTTTTTCTTGTAAAGATTACTTGCTAACAATTATGAACATTTAGAGATGGACATGCCAGATTATATGTTTCCTTCTTATTCACCACACAACCAGCTCAAGATAACTTTCATTATAAAAAATTGCTCTTCATGAAATATTTTCACCTTAGATGAACGCTAAATTGAGAAAAGCAGCAATAACAAAAGATCCCTATAAGATATTTGTGGTTGCAGAACGCACCCTTGTTTCCTCCATGTTACTGTTCAGTTGTTCTTTGTACTCCATAATCGACTTCGTAGGAGTGGAATCATCAATATTTTAACTTTTAACAGCATTGAAGGCACCTCGATCTAATTCAAGATCACAAACCATAATTATCAAATGAAAATAAACATTAACAATAAAATAATAACTGTATAATAATTATTTAAGCAAATAAGAAAACCTGACAATTTGTTCTAATCCCTATTACTCTTAAGCTATAGCTTTTGAATTACACAATAATGTGGGGAATTCCCAGAGTGGGAAGCATGACTTAAATGAAAACAAGTATGCACATATAGTCATGGTTTAAAATTGCGCAATATGAGGCTCGCCTTGAGGCCCGCCTTTGCACAATTCCAATAAAAAACGCCTCGATGCTTGCACCTCAAGTTTTTTATTAGGGTTGCGCCTCAACTTGGTTGAGACCCGCCTTGAGGCCCACCTCGCCTCACTAGCATGAGGCTTACGCCTCAGGCTATATATATTAAAACTTACATAAATCTTGAAATGCCCTACATTGGACTCTATATGAGAGGAGGAAGGGGAGAGAGCAGATCATCATAGTGATGATTCAAATGAATAACCCCTTAGTGATGACAGTGTTGATGACTTATGAGTTCTTATATGATATGTAATTGTTATTTATTTTTGGAAATTAAAATTATATTTTAATGAAAAGAATATTTGAATTTAGGAAAGATAGAATTTTGAGTTGAACTATATTTCATGTTGTCTTATTATTGAGATATTTTGATTCCACTTCATATCTTATACTTTTTTATGTTTTATATTATTCACTTATTAGTATAAAAAAATTTATCATTTTATGTTTACGCAATCTTTTGATTTTGACGCCTTGAGGCTTACGACTCGCCTCACGAATGAAAAACGCTTCAATACCCGAATACGCAATATTTAAACATTGCATATAGTTATTAAAAAAAAAAAGTTATTACTTATTATAATAAGTATGTCTATAACATGAATTTTACTAAATAACATGTTCTTGAATAATGATTGCAAGCAATTGATAGATAATGACCCGAAGCACACAACTAATAAGCTAGCTTATTAGTTGACTTACTATATATGAAAGATTTAAATGATAATTTGTGGTTACCTGTATCCATTATTTCCCTTCATCTCTTTCCTGCCTAAGTATTGCATGTTGGTCATTAATCCTCTGCTAACCACAGTTCTGGCTGAAACTTCACATTTTATATCAAGAAAATAAAACAAATTTTAAGTTCACTTATGTTTTTTTTTTTTTTTTTTTTTTTTTTCAATTCCCACAATGGTAAACCGGCATTAGATTAGAAATTTTCATTAAAGCAAGAGGTCCTACTCAGGAGAGATTATTCTGTGCGGACACCGGACAAGAGAACTGTCCGGTTTACACTTTAAATACCCAGGGGTACCGAGCCGCGGTACCGCTCGGAACTAAGCTTGGTATCAGACGTGGCACATTTTTATTTGGGTCTGGACTCCGCACAGAATAATTTTTCCCTACTCAGTAGGAAGATTGACATAAGGAATGTGAGCTATCTTGTGCCAATCAGAACAGACAAACTTTCGGTAGCGCTCCTTCAAGTCTGGGTGGCAGTAGAGTAATGACAGAGATTTCAAGGAGGGAGGGAGGTCTGGTAATTCCTTGAGCTGAGGAAACCTAAAAATGTAAAGTTTTTGGAGAGGAGAGGCTAGGAAGGCAAGAAGGCATGCAATCCAGGTTCTTAAGAAGTTGTAGATACAATACACACAAAGAGGGAGGGAGGTCTGGCAATTTCCAAAGCTGAGAACCATATCAATGTGAAGTTCTTGGAGAGCAGAAAAGCTAGGAAGGCAAGAAGGCAAGCAATCCAGGTTATGAAGATGATATAGGTACAATAAACACAAAGAGGGAGGGAGTTCTGGTAATTCCCGAAGCTGAGGAACCATATTAATGTAAAATTTTTGGAGAAATGAAAGTCTAGGAATACAAGAAGGCAGCCAATCAAGGTCATGAAGATATACTAGATGCAGTTCACACAAAGGGGGAAGTATATCTGGGAATTTTTGTACTGAAATGCATTTTAGTTCAAGATACTTGATAGAAGAGTTGGACAAAGAAGATGGTAAGCACTTCAGTGATGCGATGATGCTAAGTTCTAAATGTTCCAGACATGCGGGGATAGCTGAGGAACCTCTCGCACACATAAAATTTTAAGTGAAGAGAGGCTTGTCAATGAGGAAGGGAGGCATTGCA